CAGGAGCCAGTCAAACAAAGAAGCCATGAAGGATGGCTTTGGCCCAGACACAATGCAAGGGCATCTCCAAAGCAGAAACAGGTGTTTGAGGCCTCTGGCTTTCGGGCAGGGGAGGGCTGCTGTGTGAGATGGCTGAGAGGCTGAATCTGCCACTTGCTCTGGGGCCTATCAGAGAGGCTTGCCTTGTGTGGGGGATGCTGCTTCTTCCCCGGTGGGGGGCTGCTCCAGGGCACCTGAGGACAGCCCAGCTCTGCCACCTCATCTCCTCATTCATCTGCCTTGCTGACATTTTTTCTCACTTGCCTCCCATTGCTTTGGCAGGTTTTTATCACAGCAGCTTCAGTGTGTATAGACATTCCCTTGGGAGCATCAGCGTCATAGTAAATGCACATCATATACATACACACAGATATGTACAAAGCAGGACGGAGGCTGATGGGAGACATACAGGCAGGGGCAGACACAGGAGGAGGCATGCATGTGTGTGCATGCACACACACGAACACACACACACATGCACGCACACACACATCCTACAGAGATACCCAGCGGTACCCTCACTCCGACACACCAAGGAGAAGCATATATGGAGAGTGAAAGCCTCGCTGGGTGAGACATAAAGAGGAACTCACATATTCCTAATAGCAGAAATAATACCCTGGCTTGGAATTATTCAATTTGCAAATAATCGTAATAGGTTGGAGGTTCCCTCACTTCTAGATGCTGAGCCAAGCACTTTCTACAGACATTATCTCATTTGTCTTCATCAGTGCCCTGGGAGAGCAATGCCATTTACTACATTCCCATTTCACAGATCACAAACTGAGGTGTGGCCTCTCCCAGTGCATCACCTATCACCTTCCATTCCCTGTTCCAAGACACCAAGTCATGGTCGTACCCCATGGCCTCTGAGCTAGCTGTTGCTTCTGCCTGGTTGAGGATTTCTTCCCAGTTGCCTCCTGCCCCTTGACTTTATCCTTCTCTCTGCTCAAAGGTTCCCTTCTTGGGAGGCTTCCTCTGACAACCTTTCTGAAAAGAGCATTCCCCACCATGTTCCTAGCCACCACTTTATTCCCACTGAGTCTGTGAAATTTCTCAGTGTATTCGCATCACCTGACATACAGCATTCATTCGCTTACTCACTCGTGGTCTGTGTCTCTACCTAAAATATAAGCATTATCGGGGCAGAGATTTTGTCTATCTTGTTATCTTGTTCCCCACTGAATCTCTAGTATCTAGAAAGTGGCTGACTCACAGTAGGTGCTCAATATTTGTTGGTATTGAATGAATAAATGAGGTACTGAGAGGGTTTGTAACTTGTCTATGGTCACAGAGCCAGGAAATATATAGCATTTGTATGCATACGCACATACACACACACACACACCCACACACACGCGCACGCGTGCGCACACACCACTCCATTCTCTGCCTCTACTAGTTATACTAGTTACCTTTTCTGACCCCCTAATCCCATGACTGGCTCCCCTGACAACCAACAACCCCTCCCCCCTTCTTTAGGGGATTTCCAAAAGTCACCGAATTAACATAAATTCAGTGGTGGTTGAGAGGGGCTTATTATGAATAGTGAGACACCCATTTTACTTTTATGGCTCCTGAAGATTTCAGGAACTGAGGACAAGAGACCAAATATTATAACAAAAGATTTTCCCATTGCTCTCATCACTCAGGAAATTCCAAGGGTTCTGGTAGTTCAGTGCCAGAAATGGGGATGAAGACCAAATATATGTTCTTATTATAAAGCCACAATATCATAATTAGGTATATTATGTATGACTGGCACATCGGGTCTGTAATAGTACTACTTAAGAGATGGTTAAAGTAGGCTATTTAGGTTTAAGCAGTATGTTTACTTAAATAAAAACACAAAAGCAAAAAACAGTTCAGGACAGGTTAAAGTTATGGCAGTAATGAACAGATGACCGACGTTTGGGGGATACTTCCTTTGTCTGAAGTGTAGTCTTGTAATTATATATGTAAGTTCAAACTTGGGAATTAAGATAAGCAGGAGAAAATTTGTATCAGTCCCTCTTTTCCAATTCTGGGTCAGTGATGACAATGGGGATTCAATCAATAATTCATTCATTCATCCATCAAATAATTATCAAAGGCCCATTAGGTGAGGTTTAGACAGACAAAGAAGACATAGGGCTGCCCTCAAGCTGCTGACAGTCTGGCAAGAGATAAAGACAGCCTGGGGTGAGAAAAGCTACCAAAGAGGTGTCTAAGCAGAGGTCAGCCATCGCTCATTGTAGAATGGGACGGCACAGCTCAGTTTTGAAGGACAAGGCAAAATTAGCCAGATGAGAAAGGGAAGTGTCCTCCAGGCAGAGCAGACATCATCGCTGAGCATATACAGACTGACCTGTAGACTCAGCCTTGCAAGGTGCTCGGACACAGCATGGCTGACACCAACCTACCAGCTGACAGAGGCCGGAATATCCCTGGTATATTTACCAAGCTGCTCTTTTTTTTTTTTTTTAAAGATTTTATTTATTTATTTGAGACAGAGAGAATGAGAGAGAGAGAGCACATGAGAGGGGGGAGGGTCAGAGGGAGAAGCAGGCTCCCCGCCGAGCAGGGAGCCCGATGCAGGACTCGATCCCGGGACTCCAGGATCATGACCTGAGCCGAAGGCAGTCGCTTAACCAACTGAGCCACCCAGGCGCCCTACCAAGCTGCTCTTGCCCCCAGCTCTACTTGGTATGCTCAGTCAACAAAGCAGCCTGTGGGGTCTTGATCTGCTTTCCACTGGGACTAAATCCCTGCTCCCAGCCCACCTCAGCCTTGACCTGAACTCCGAAGCTCCATACCTGATAGGTCACCCAGAATCTTGATGCCACCACCTGCCTGACTGCAAACACGGCCAATGTCCAGACACTCCTGTTGCAATGTCATAAGAATAAGAGATTCCACTTACCAAGCCCTTACTCTGTGCCAGGCTTGGTTCATGCCTGTTACATGGGCTATGTCGTTTGATCCTTGGGACACTATGGGATGTTATCATTACTTCCATGCACCGGTTGAGAACCTTAAGTCTTCAAGCGGTTGAGGAACTTACCCGAGATCGTACTTAGTAAATGGGGGAGCTAAGGTTCATGCTCGGCTATTCTGACACCAAAGTCTGTGCACTTAACCATTGTGCTGTACTACCTCTCCCCACAAAAAATGTGCAAACCCACTGGAGTGTTGGGCCAGCTGTTACGGGCCTTGGGATTTTATTTTGATGACAGGCTGCCCTCCATCTCAGTGAGGAGCTTTGATGACGGGCTGCCCTCCATCTCAGTGAGGAGCAGTCCCAGAATGGATGAATGCCCTGGTCCCATCCATTCCTGCCTTCCTTTCTTTTCCAACAACCCAGAGCTCCCAGTGTATCTCATTCTCCAAGCCTGAGTGGGTACTGCCCACTGATGGTTCTCAGGCAAGCAGAATGCAAAGGACAAGGAGCTCAGAATCCCAAATCAGTTACCAGAGGGAGCTCCACCCAGCTTATATTTTCCACTGTTGGAAGTTCTTAGAGAAAGTTCCAGGTTGAGAGATCCTGGCTTTCAGTTATGGTAAGAAATTGAAGTATGGAATGCCTTGTGGAGGTATTGGGTCTTCTCCAAAGGAGTCTAAGGAAAGCTGCTTCTCCTCAATGTCTAGGGCCTCAAAGGTAGGCAGGGAGTGTGGGCTCCATTGAAAAAGAGCAAGGAATGAAAGCAAAGGAGCAGCCTCATACCCTGTCCTGGCTCCTGGGGTCAAATGTTCCTCTGTCGGCCCCACATCAGGCAATCCCCAAGCCAGGGCAGCCTCAGTGAAGGTACCACAGTGGGTCCCAGTGTGGCTGTGTGGGGAGTCCCTCACCCAGAGAAGATGTCATCGGGCTCTTGGGGAGGGTGGAGCCGCTGTGGCTGCCAAGGCATAATGCCCAAGCCTTGTGGGTGGCATAATGTGGCATTCATCTCCTTCACTCTGCAGAGAGGAGACAGGCAGAACAATCCAGACTCTGTCAGCAAGGTCCTCTGGGGAGTTCAGGCCTCGCTAATGAAGATGAATAAGAGATGGGAGGTGCCCCTTATGGCGGCTGCCTTTGTCACATACATATTCATGGACCGGAGGGACAGCTCCTGGGAATGACCCATCCCACACAGAGGTGAGAGGGGCAAGGCAGGGCACTGCAGATCCACTCCTGAGGTGGGCGTGTCTTGTGGGGGTAGAACACACTGGGCTGTGAATTCGGGCACTCCAGACATACTCTTAAATATATGGAATTTTCAAGATGACATATCTACCTTTGCCTGCTGTAGACACATGAGTCCTGGAATAAGCCAAGGACCCCTGAAGAACTTACTTAGTACTCAGCTGAGTTCCAGAAACAAGCCCAACTTTGCTACTTCTTACTCAGTATCAGTTACCAGTAATCCCTGTACCCTATTGTTCTGCCTGGCTTGGCCTCATGGAATTTGCTGGAACTTCATGCTAGAGGTCTAGGTACATACAAAGGCTCAGAACACACGCTGTATCATCTTACTTCACACAACAGAGACCCTGTTTTTTGACTCTCCATCCATTTGACTATTCTATGATGTTCCCTCAACTAAGATATTTGGGCAACAAATCCTTGCCCGCCATAGACCTCCAGGGTCCAAGAAGGTGACCTTGATAGGAGATTATACTCTGTGTAGGGGAAATCCGGACAAACAACTTGGGCATTTGTACCATGTTTCTTCAAAAGACAGTAAATGCTGGCTCTGAATCTATATTCACCCATCACTTTGAAGTTAGTGGATTTGTTCTAGACTCCCAGATGTTTTGATATTTTATTCCCTGTTTCAGCGCACTCAGCCTCAGTCCCCAGGCAGTATAACCAAAAAGATACACACTGAGCCAAATAAATCAACTGGCTTCTTTGCAATTGGCCTCCTGTAGGTTTCTACTGAGCCACAGGCTAGTACTTAGCTGCAAGACAGATGTCTAACAGAGCCCAAGAGCCTTACCTGCCTTTCTGACATGATGTAGAGTTGCTCGTGGTCCTTGGAGAAGGCCATATCCCGGAGGACTGGGCCGGGCTCTACTACCTGCACCATCTCATACTGGAGGGCATTGCCCCTGGGCCCATCCACACGGATCTGTGGAGAAGAGAGAGAGGAGAGATGGTATGCATTCAGATCCTATATTGCCCGCAGTCCAGCTTCAGCCCAGAGACCCTCCCAACAGCTAAGGGAGAGGCAGTGAGCTTTGCCTCTGAGATGCCGAGGCCAGGCCCTGAATAGAAGCCCCCTGGCATGGGCCTCCTGCTGGGAAAGGCAAAGAGAAGGGAAGGCAGGAGACCAAACCAGGCCCCACCAAGCACCTGGCCTTATCCTCTCTGGTTCCCTCTGCCTCAGGCTTAAGTCTTCGAGGCCTGGCTTGGACATCTTTGGAGAAGAGGATGGGGCTGGTATTGGGGAGCGGGGGCTGGGGATTGGGTGAACAGTGGGTAACTGAAGCTGCCTCAGATCAGAGTATCATCATGTAACAGAAAGGCAATATTTTTTTTTAAAGATTTTATTTATTTATTTGAGAGAGAGAATGAGAGACAGCACGAGAGGGAAGAGGGTCAGAGGGAGCAGCAGACACCCCGCTGAGCAGGGAGCCCGATGCGGGGCTCGATCCCGGGACTCCAGGATCATGACCTGAGCCGAAGGCAGTCGCTTAACCAACTGAGCCACCCAGGCGCCCCAGAAAGGCAATATTATTTGCTAGATTTGTTCTCAGAAAATAAGCGGGTGTGAGGATGCAGGCTGATTCTTTGAAATGGCTACCCAGTTATCATTGCCACACCTTTGAAGGGAATCAGGCAAGGAGCCAACCTCGGAAGTTTCACACTGAGTGGGCTCATTCTGGCCATTAACTATGGGCTTCTGCTTCAGGCTTAGGAGTAGATGTAGGTCTTGAGACCTCCCAGAGGTTCTATTCATGTCCCCAGGGAAGGGGATATGAACATTCCAGGAAAATGCACGTTGGGCATGAGTCATCCCCAAACTTCCGAGAACACTTAGCATAGTAGATCACCCCTGGGCCATTCTCAGGCCTTCCTAGAACTGTTTGGACAATGTGGAGACAACCAGGAGAGACTTTTGCCCACAGCCCCCAGAGGGGAGGACAAATCTAGAAAGACAGGGGCTTCTCAATGCCACGTGGTGCTCATCTGACCCGGGGTGCTGGCCCAGGTCTCTAGAATCAGAGTCATTACAAGTCTGGGCTCATAAATTCAACACAATCGCTGCCCAGTACTAATAATACCACCCACCTAAGTTGGGACCAAACATCTGGAGGGAGACAGGGAGAGGCAATAGCTAGGGGATCACCGAACTTGATTAGATGCCATTTATACGTATAAGACTCTGTAAGTTACCCACCATGTAATTTTAGAGATTTCAGTAACAAAACTAAAGAAAAAAATTATATTCCATATATTCCCATTATGGACTCTTACTTTTAATTTTTAATATTTAATTTTTAACTTCTCATGAGCTCAAGGAGAAGAGAAGTTATTCAGAGCAAATGAATTACAGAAGGGACACCACATTAATGCCAACTGATGACATCAATTCATCTGAAAGTCTGCTACCCTTCGTTTCTGTTGAATTCACTGAACTCTGACACTAGTTTATTTTGTGGCTTATGTGTTGGCTTTTAGGTCTGTTCCAGGCTCTATTTGTTTATTTTCCTCTTAAGCACAATTTTTAAGCCCTCCCTAGACGTCAGGCACTAAGAAATGGTTTTGCACGCAATTCCTTATTGGTGTAATCCTCTCAATCCTGTGGGCTTAGTGGTCATTTGTCCTGACTTCCATGGCCTCTCCACCATCCATTCCACCCTCTCTCACCTAGGGGCAAGACTGGACGCACCCCCTGCTTCCCCAGGGGCAGGGGGTGCTCCCTGATGGGCACGAGCAAATCAGTTTAATCTCATTCTGTTGCCACAGTGATTGAAGAAAACAGGCCCAAGCCAATCAACATATGCACTCAGAGCAAAGCAGGGACAGTGTTTTGTGATCAGGAAGAGAGAATTTCTCCTCATCCTCAACACATCAAAGAAACAGCCGGTTCCAAGAGCTATGGGCAGCCCTCTTGTCATAAAGAGGGGAGCTGAAGCCAGGAAAGGTTTAGGTAGAGAGATGGGAAAAAATTGGTCTTTGGTGATGTCCCTGAGTCACTGAATCAAAATGACACCAAAGCCTGCCCTCTGTCAGGACTTTCTAGTTACTCATGTTATTTCCTTATTGCTAAAAGAATAAAAAGGCTTTTCTGCAACATCAAAAGTCCTAACTGCTATACAGATGCAAACAATGAGGAAAATGAGACAGAGGTGCACTAAACAATTAGCCTGAGCTATAAAATCTGGGGACAGAATTAGAATCCAGTTCGACTCTGAAGTCTACGCTTTTCCTGCCACCCCATTACATGAGATCTTGTTCCTTGGTGGGTTTCATGTTCATTTGCTGGGGCGTGCCACCTAAATAAAGGCAGGGGGCTGAGGTCAGCATCTGTCTCTGGTCTATATGATGCCAGAGGCTTTTGCCAGTCATTCCTGATTTTGATGCTGAAATACTCGAGCTTGACACATATTTATTTTAAAAATGAAGAAATAAATGAATGCAGCTGAAAGTCCTTTTTGCTGATTTCTCATGAAGCTCATTAAAACAAACAAACAAAAACTGATAAAGGAATAGAAAGAGAATACTTTTAGCTCTGAAAAGCAAAATGCCTCAGAATCCAATAGCCCTCCTGTTTCTGTGCCCACCCCCACGCCCCCAGATGTCCATCCTGGCCAGGGCCTTCCTTCATCTGAATGAAATGAGAGTTCAGGCAAAACCAGTTGGGATTACCACCCAAGTCTGACCCTGTGGCGATGGCCTTGGCCCCCAGCCCAGGCAGGCTTCATCCCCAGCTGTAAGTCACTTCTGGAGCAGCAACAGACGAGTGACAAGAGTGATACTGAACATCCTGGCTGGTCTCCAGCCCCCTCAGGCTGCCGGCAGGAGCAGGCTCCCTGAGGCACTGCTGGTGGATATGTATCCCATGCAGTGCCTGTGGTCTGATCCCCAAGGGAAATTGGATTCAGTGCCCGATCAATCTTCTTTATCACTGGGCCCCAGCTCCCTGCTCTTTAGCACAAGGTGATGTGCTGGATGTCGGTGGACATCAGAGGAAACCAGGTAAGCGGGGGGCGGAGACAGAGGGATGGACCAGGGAGCACCTGGGGCACATTTTCATGGGCCTTCCCCAGGGAGGCGGGATAAGGTTATGTTACCCCCTTCCACTCTCTGCCTGGATGGGAAATCAGTCATTGGAAAGGCAGGCAGGGTTCCCTCTCCCCATACCTCTCCCCAGTCCACGACTTATTTCAGAAAACAGAAAGGAAAGCATCCATTCACCCACCTGCTGAAAGAATCTCACACAGATCTTGGATAAAAGGAGCTTGTGGTAGGATTGGCTGAATGATGGACAATCATAAAATTTAGGTAGGATGGTCCAGCTGCTGGCTCCTTTGGCCTCACGTAAGCGATAGCAACAAGAACTGCCAATAACTGAGCGGCTACTGTGTGTCAGGTCTCCTGCAGGCAGTCTACACGTACTAACTTCTCATGTAAACCACCTAACTCTGCCAGGTAAGCATCAATATTTTCCCATGTACAGGTGAGGCTTAGTAACTTGCTCATGGTCACAGATCTAGCGAATGGCATGGCCTTGATCCTTACCAAGATCGGACTGATTCTGTCCGTGCCTCCGTGTGTTTACATACTAACCAGCACATGTTGAACCAGGTTCTTTTGGTTGTATAAACCTGCATCCCTTCAAGAAGTGCAAGTAGTTGACGTTACGCAAACGTCACCCTAGGAGTGTGGGAGGAACCGCGTCTGTGCCTACTACAGTTCTTGTGGGAGGGAATCATGCATATGAATGAAGACGATGCTGGTGTAAATTTTCAGATAATGATCCCTTATGTTTTTGTTTGTTACCTTGCACAGCATTCTTTTTTTTTATTATTAACATATAATGTATTATTTGTTTCAGGGGTACAGGTCTGTGATTTATCAGTCTTACACAATTCACAGCACTCACCATAGCGCATACCCTCCCCAGTGTCCATCACCCAGCCACCCCATCCCTCCCACCCCCCCACGACTCCAGCAACCCTCAGTTTGTTTCCCGAGATTAAGAGTCTCTTATGGTTTGTCTCCCTCTCTGGTTTCGTCTTGTTTCATTTTTCCCTCCCTTCCCCTATGATCCTCTGTCTTGTTTCTCAAATTCCTCATATCAGTGAGATCATATGATAATTGTCTTTCTCTGATTGACTTATTTCGCTTAGCATAACACCTCTAGTTCTATCCATGTCGTTGCAAATGGCAAGATTTCATTCTTTTGATGGCTGTATACTATTCTACTATATATAGATATATACATACACCACATCTTCTTTATCCATTCATCTGTTGATGGCTCTTTCCGTAGTTTGGCTATTATGGACATTGCTGCTATAAACATTGGGATGCATGTGCCCCTTCGGATCACTACATTTGTATCTTTGGGGTAAAACCCCAGTGGTGCAATTGCTGGGTTGTACGGTAGCTCTATTTTCAACTTTTTGAGGAACCTCCATACTGTTTTCCAGAGTGGCTGCACCAGCTTGCATTCCCACCAACAGTGTAGGAGGGTTCCCCTTTCTCCGCATCCCCGCCAACATCTGTCGTTTCCTGACTTGTTGATTTTAGCCATTCTGACTGGTGTGAGGTGGTATCTCATTGAGGTTTTGACTTCTATTTCTCTGATGCAGAGTGATGTTGAGCACTTTTTCATGTGTCTTTTGGCCATCTGGATGTCTTCTTTGCAGAAATGTCTGAAAATGTCTTCTGCCCATTTCTTGATAGGATTCTTTGTTCTTTGGGTGTTGAGTTTGAGAAGTTCTTTATAGATTTTGGATACTAGCCCTTTATCTGATATGTCATTTGCAAATATCTTCTCCCATTCTGTCGGTTGTCTTTTGGTTTTGTTGACTGTTTCCTTAGCTGCTTGCACAGCATTCTTAAATAACATCGTCTCATTGGATGGTTGTAAGATTTTTACGATGTTGACGACTAACA